TATTAATATATATTAATATTTATTTTATTTATCTATATCATATATGATGCATCTTTATCTATTTTGTATCTGTGGTTTTTTGTGAAATTTTTCCAAGCTGTGCACATGAGAAGAGGTGTCGCCAATGAAGATATAAACTAAGTAACTAACTAAGTCGATAAATCAAGCGCGTGTTTATCGTAAATTGCTATGTATTATGCTTTGTTTACGTGTGTACGCGTCATCTGTCTCCCCACAGTGTAGTAAAATCTCTTTGCTGCTGTCCTGTAGATCTACTTGGCTGTTCTCAGCTATCAAGGTGTGCAGCGTGATGACTTTGATACGAGGTGGAAGAGCTTTCACATAGTCAAGAAGGCGATGGAGAATAAGGTATGTTACCACAGATACAGCAACGGTAGTGGGCAGTGGGGTATGCATGGCTCGCAGGTAGAAACTGAAACTGCTGCAAATCTGTCCGTGGATTTCACATTGTAGATATAATTTAGTCTGGTATTATTGCCAAATATATGGAAACTAAATAAGCTAATAAAATTGAATTTACAAAAACACTAAAATTTTAAAGTACTACTAACGTTTTTCTATGCAGTTGATGGGGAACAAGAGGCATATCCGAGCTCTACTGATAGACAGAGTTGTCTTGCAGCATGAGGTGGGTACATTCCTACGATGTTTTGCTATGCTCTATGTTGTAGCCACTATCAAGTTTAAATTGATGCTCTTTATTTATTACTATTGAAATTTTTTGTTTACTTGGTTTTGGTCAGTTCTCAGTTCTGGTGTTATAGAGAAGGGGTTGTTATACTTATCATGCCTCACAAGCCAATTATTCTTTTGTGGCTAACATATTGTGATGATTATGAAATTCATACTTGATAATGTTGAAAAATTAAGCATCTCGAGCAATAAAAATAAAGTTGTGAGTCGAATTTTGGAAAGATCAGAGAAATTTGGGAAAAAAACAGCAGCATGTTGTAACAAGAAAAATGTCCTGCGCATATATTTCATTGCTCACAGAGTTTTTCTGCACATTTATTAGCGGAGAATAATGGATAAATCAAAGTTCCAATTCACTGACCTGCACCAGAGGAGTTTAGAAGATTTATTCCTTCTCTCAACAAGTCGCTACAGTCAGGTTTGTCGTAACAGAGAACATAACAATTTAAGATGCGATGCTTGAAAATGCAATACATCTTTTCTTGTGAATTCTACCTGTAGTTGCATTTGTCAGTCTCATCGTACGAATCACTGGCATATTGAATTTCGATATACAAAATTATTCAATCAAAGTAAAAATCAATTTGGTGAAAAATCCATCGGCACTACACAATGAATCCATGGCCAAGGTGTATCTCACGGACGTTAAGCTACAAAGTCCGAGGGCATCCCTAACTCCTCAGTATGAACTTCCTCATTATTTTACTCCTGATCATACTTTTATTTTATTGCCATCGCTTTAGCCTTTGTGGTTCTTAAACCTCTAAACTGATCCGCAGGCACCGGCCATTTAAATGCACCTCTGTAAAAACGTCGTCTTCTTGATTTTCACTGGCATTCTAGATCTGCGAACCTGACGCCGTTAGAACGCCGAGCAGTTTTGAACGTGAATGATGTCGTGCTAAAAAAAGTGAAGGTCGTCATCGCAAAATTTGTATTTCAGGTGCGCGCGCGAGCGCAGGCGGTCATGTCGACTGTGATGCACGACTTTCCGCACTGCTACACTCGCATTCTGCCGCGCACACTCGCGCTGCTGAAGGAAGACCCGGACATCTCACACGAACAGCTCAAGGTGGGTAGCGAGTCATCTCGCGTGACTTCGTCGATGTTTCACGTTTTTTTTTTGGGGGGGGGGGGAGGCAGCAGAGAAGCAGTGCACTGTGTGAGTTAGATAGTAACGTATTTTGTTGATGTTGCTGTTACTCGCCGCGGTTTTCGATCTTCGTTTCTGTCACTTCCTCGAGTTTCGGCGGGAAGGCGGCAGAGAAGTTGTGTGCTGTGCGTGCGATTGAGTTAGATAGTAAGGTATTTTGTTGATGTTGCTGGTACTGGTTGGAGTCATCTCACGCAGTGTGTCTCGCTGCGCTTTTTGATCTCTGTCTTCGTCACTTCATTGCGTTTTGGGGGGAAGGCGGCAGAGAAGCAGTGTGCTGTGTGGGCGATTGAGTTGGATTGTAACGTATTTTGTTGATGTTGCTATTACTGGTTGCACGAGCTTCTTTTTTTTTGTGTGTTAAGGGAGCGCTCTACATACTGCGTGGCAATGTGAAGTCCACGTGCTTGGCGACGAAACATGACTGGAAAGTGCTATCACAGGTGAGAATACACGATGACTGTCATTCAGCAACATTCGATATATAAGCATTAATAAATTGCTGAGCAATACAAGCACTTTCTGTGTTGCAATTAGTGTTGCTTGTACATAAAACTTGCTTGTTTTGCATTTGTAATTATTGATACTTGTAAATACTGATAATATATGTGGAATCTATTTTACTATACGTTCCATGCTACTGTTATCTTGAATATCTAACCCTACCTTAAAACGCTTAACTCTGAAAAATCCGATCCCTATGCTGAGAGCTGAAAAAATCGGATGTGTTGCCAGGATTATAGCCTATGTTTTCTAGAACAATTGCTGCAGAAGGGCATATAGCCATTTATCAGTTTTTTCGCTTCGATGAGTTGAGGTTTCGATAATGCTCGTCTACCACGCGTGTGTACGTGTACGCGTATGTCTAGAGTGTCGCGCTTGCTCCTGTAGGTGTGGCCTGCCATCATAGAGGCACAGCATTCAGAGAAGCTGTCCATAATCGACATGCTAGACTTGCTGGTGGATAGGATCAGCAAGAACATCGATACCTTATCACTGACCGTCACCGTACGTATCACACAGTACATAGTACATAGTGCATAGTACAGATTACAGTATACGATGTACAGAGTAGTACACGTACAGTACGTATCACACACTATATACTGTATACGCTGTATATTTCGTGGTGGTTTAATTTCGCGAACGCGTCCCCGACCGCGAAGTTGTCCGTCAAGTCTGAATTCGCGAAAATATCTGTATGTGAAAAATATAGCGTATACAATAGTACACGGTGCATAGTACGGATTACAGTATTTGATGTAAAGAGTAGTAAATAGTACACCATACTACATGGTGCATAGTACAGAATACAATATAAGGTGTACAGAGGAGTACATAGTACACTGTGCATAGTGCAGAATACAGTATACAATGTACAGAGTAGTACACAGTGCATAGTACAGAATACAGTATACATGTACAGATTAGTACACAGTACATAATATACAGTATATCATGCACTATATAGTGACGTACTTGACTGATTGCAGGTCCCTGATGCTGTGCTTCAAGCAGCAGAGAAGATGTGGGCGCACCAGCCCATGCCAGAGCAGCAGACACCAGAAGCAGCCGAGCTGACGCAGGCTGAGGCACGGCTCCAGGAGAGAAACACTGAAAACCTGAAGTGTGTATGGCAGCTATGCCCATTGTCGCTACCATCTCTGCGCTCATTCCGGTGTTCATTCTGTGTTCATTTCTGTTTTCATTCCGGTGTTCATTCTGTGTTCATTTCTGTTTTCATTCTGTGTTCTGTGATCATCATGCTGTGTTCTCTGCACTCATTCTTGTGTTCATTCTGTGTTCGTTACGTAACATAATGTAATGCAACGTAATGCAATGTAGTGTAGTGTAATGTTCGGTGGGTTGAACTTTTCGACCGGGTAACACAGTCATTTGTGACTGCTAATGCAAATATGTATATACTGTGTAAACAAATTTAAGAATGTTTTTCTTTCTGTTTATATTCTGTTGCCAAATGTTTTCAGAATATACAAGACAATGATTGATAAAAACGTGGAGCTACTAAATGATGGAAAATTGTAAGTAATTTTACTATATATTGCTATTGGTTCTTGTTGCTACAAACGGTTCATTTCATGCGTCTATAGACTTAATATTTCACCTTTATTTGAGAGAGATAATAGATTTAAGGCAAAGATTTGGCCTTGTTGACAAGTTTGTGTTCATCGTAATTATAGCACATTTTCAATAGAGCGATTGAGAGAATTTGTTTTACCCAACATAACACACCTGCATGAGTGTAATCTATAAGTTACATAAACTACCTTCTGGATTTAGTAAAAGTTCTGAAGTTAGGGATTTTCACCAGGCTCAGTTTCCTATTTAAAGAGATATTTTCCATTCCTACTGCCGCCATTTTTTATTAATAAACTTTGTTATTTAGAAATATGTAACATTTTAGGAAATTCCTTTTGCCATTAATTATAGCAATTTCCTCAAGATATGTCCTAAAATGAAATCCAATAGTACCGAAGGACAAAAATATCTCGGGGTCCTGGCCAGGCCTAAAACCCTGGCCTTAGGATGCAGTTAAAATAATATCAAGCGCTTTTTTGCAAACCCAAAAAACTGTGTCTCATTCCTCTGCATAACACAGACAATTGTAATCAGATGCTCATAATGATGAGGTTATAATAATAATAATAATATATTTGTGATAACTTGGGAAAATACTCAGTTATTAAACTAATAGCTTTATATTGCAAACTGCTGATAATAATAATATGAGGGTGATGTGAGTGAGTGAGCTGGGGAGGCCTGCGCTCACCGCGTGCGTTGTCGTGTGTTCGCGCAGGCGATGGAGGCACTACCAGGTGGCTGTCAGCTTCCTCACACAGCTGCTGAGAGAGGACGAGCGGCTGCCGATGCACGCCGTACGCGTGCTCGTCAACAACCTCAACCACGACTCCCTCATCGTGAGAAAGGTGAGCACTCCTCCTCCTCCTCCTCCTCCTCCTCATCGTCATCATCATCATCGTCATCATCATCATTATCATCATCATCATCATCATCATCAACCTTCACTTCCTTCTCTTCCTCCTTCTCTCCTTCCTCCTCTTCATTCTCCTCCTCCACCTCCTCATCATCATCATCCTCTACCTCATCCATCTCCTTCTCCCCCTCCTCCCAGCATCCTTTAGAGATGGTTGTTCGTTCTATAGAGGTAGTTTCACTTTATAATTGGTACTGAAGAGAAAGCCCACAAGTGTCATTTATAGACTGGTGACCATTCTGTGCAGATTGTTTGTGTCAGATGCAAAATTTTGTGTTTATGTGCTAATGTGCATTTTTCTGGGGAGGGGTCTGCAGCTTTCACCAGATTCTCAAAGGGGTCCATGACGCAAAAAAGGTTACGAACCACTGTTCTATACAATGGACACCTGTCGGGTCTACTAAAATTACTTTGGGATATTCTGTATTCTGAAAAGTACCAATAGTACTTATTTTACTACTGGTACAGGGATATTGAATAATGAGCAAGTGAAATAATATTGCAGATAATAATAACATGCATAATTATCTATACTAAGCTATGCTATATATATATATATATATATACCTCTATTGTTCCCTTTATGGCTAACATTTCCATTGCATTCCCTGTCTACGCAGCTTTGCACGTCGGCGATGGGTGCCGTACTGAAGCAGCAGAAGCGCACACGTGAGAAGAAGGAGGTGGACGTTACGACGGGTCACTTTGTCGCCACGGAGTGCCCTCGCGAGTCCTTGATGGGAACCAAGCCATCGCAGATCGCAACCCCGGCCTGCACCCCTGTACCTGCGAGTACAGACTGCGCGACTCCCGCCGAAACGTCCGAGTCGGTGGCAACTTTAGGTTGCCCGGGAAGTCCGCCGACTCCAGACGCAATATCAGATGCCCTGACCGCAGCCGCCGAGAAAGGATCAAAGATGGCCGCTGGCGACAGAGGATCAAAGATGGCCACTGCCGAGAGCGAATCGAAGATGGGCGCAAGCGAGGAGGACACGCTGCCGCCGCTCTCTCAGCCGAACAACGATTGGCTGCTGCTCGACATGAAGGACGTTCCCAACACGGCCGACAGTTGGCGCCGCTGTGTGATGATCGACAAGACGCACCTCGGCTACTACTGCTGGCCGAAGCCGCTGATGGCGCATGCACTCAACCCCGAGCGGCCACCAGGGGCCAGGAAGAGAGACGATCTCGACGAGGTACTATCGAAGCGGGTGTAGACGAGAAGAGGCAATTTTTATTAATTATTATTACCCACAATAGTTATAATTAGTCATAATAATAAAAATTAATGAATAATTATTATTATAATTTATTAATTTACATAATTATGTATGAATTTTTATTGCTAATTATTAACATTTGATTAATAGTGATTATTTGCGATGGATTGCCCACCCTGAGTGTTACCCAGTTGTATATGTGGGTGTTTGTCGGTGGAGGCGGAGTATGCCACGACCATGGCTCCGGGCGAGTGAAGTCAACCTTTGCTGTTTTGGTTTCCTGCAGGAGGAGATTCCGTTGTTCGATGCCATGAGCGATCCCGTGTTCATAGAGAAGCTCGTCGGATTCATGTCCCTGGAAGACAGGAAGGGCAAGGACAAGTTCGATGCGAGAAAGTACACGTTTCTCAAGGTACGCGATTCGACTTCCGCGCTGATACGCTGGGATTGCTCGTGGAAGAATCGGTACACACTGTCAAATTCACCTGATCGGTGTATTTTCCATTATTATCCCGTACATATGCAGGGCTCTATCTGGATGTTTTTAAGTTTGAGCCAAGACTTGAGCCAGCAAAATTATTTTTACCCACCAGTGAAAAACTATAGCCACTTCAGTTTATCGTATGTGATAAGCAAGGCATAAACGGGTGATGGGCATCGGAAAACAGGTGTACGAAAATATTTTACGACACGACGCTGCAATTTGATGATTTCATTATTCAGTCGTAATTTTGTGGGCAGTTAAATCATGCGACAATTGTAATCGCCACTTAATGTAGTAAAATCGCCACTGTTATTTATTTATCGCATTTTGCGAAAATGCCAGCGTTAGTCCTGGATATGATTAGTCTGTTTTGGTTGGTCATGTAATCGTTTTTATATATTTATATTTCATTTGTATTGTTTATTATTTATTTTTTTACTTAAATTATGTTTATATTTAATTTTCACTTAAAATATTTAATATTGTTAATTAATTTTTGATAAACTTAATTTTAATTTTTGTTAATGTAATTTAAACATATCAATATTCATTCATGTGATAGTGGGATGGTCTTAGTTTAATTTTAACTCGAACGATTCAATTTTTCCAACTAAAATTTCATTACGAATTTTAATGAAATTACGAACTAAATCTACATTATGAAGTAATAATCCCAGAATTGCTTGCTGCAATCCCGGCTCTGACGTCGTTCTGCGCTTCAGGGCATCTTCCGTAACTACGAGTCGGCGTTGCTTGGTGTGCTGCGTCCGCACATCGAGAAGCTGGCCGTCGATCCGCACGAGAGCAGCCAGCGATTCTCCGCCGAGTGCATCGCGGCGCTGATGCGCGGCAGCAAGCACTGGTCATGGGAGCAGGTGAGAAGCACAGCAGCACCTCTGTATAGCGGTCACCTCTGTATAACGGTCACCCATGTATAACGGTCACCCCTGTATAATAGTCACCACCTGTGGTCTTAGTGGGGGGGGGACAGTAAGCACTGGTCATGGGAGCAGGTGACAAGTGCAGCCACACCAGTGTTAGCAGGTCACCTCTGTATAACGGTCACCTCTGTATAACGGTCATCTCTGTATAACGGTCACCTCTGTATAACGGTCACCACCTGTGGTCTTAGTGTGGGGGGGGCAGCAAGCACTATTCATGGGAGCAGATGAGAAGCACAGCGGCACCTGTTTATAGAGGGTCACCCCTGTAATAACGGGCACCTGTACATATTAGAAGATCTGTGTTAGATCTAGTGGTTTGATCGAGTCTTTTCTCCTCGGTAAAAGCACCGGAGGGGTAATTGCGATGTTGTGTGTGTGACAGCTGGATGAAATGTACTCATGGTTGGTGCCTCTGCTACGCCTCGTCATCAAGAACATGACCGTGGAGACGATATCAGACTGGGGCAGCTGTATAGCAACGGCCAGCGTGAGTATGATCACTGAGACTTGCTAGTGCAGCAGTAGCAGCGGTAGTGGCAGCAGCGGCGGCGGCGGTAGCAGTAGCGGCGGCGGTGGCGGCGGTAGCAGTAGCAGTAGCAGCGGTAGTGGCAGAAGCAGCAGCAGCGGCAGCAGCGGCGTCGACGGCGGCGGCGGTAGCAGTAGCAGTAGCAGCAGTAGTAACATTAGTAGTATCGGCAGCGGGAGTAGTAGTAGCAGCAGCAGCAGTACTGCTAGCAGCAGCAGTAGCAATAGTAGTAGTAGCAGCAGTAGCAGCAGCAGCAGTAGTAGCAGCAGCAGTAATAGTAGCAGCAGCAGCAGTAATAGTAGCAGCAGCAGTAGCAGCAGCAGCAGTAATAGTAGCAGCAGCAGTAGCAGTAGAGCAAGTAAGCAGTAGCTAGTAGGCAGTAGGGCAGTAGCAGTAGCAAGTAGCAGTAAGCAGTACATAGCAGTACATGTAGCAGTAGCAGTAGGGCAGTATCCTCAACCACCTCGCAAGACTAGCAGTAGCAAGCTATGGCAGCTAGCAGTAGCTAGTTCAAGGCAGATAGCAGCTAAGCAGTAGCAGTAAGCGATGTATCAGCAGCTAGGCTAAGCAGCAGAAGCAGCAGCAGCAGCATGGCAGTAGGCAAGCAGGCAGAGCAGTAGCAGCAGCAGTAGTAGTAGTAAGTAGTAGCAGCAGCAACAAGCTATATGATTCCATTATCAGGTACGTAGTGGATGTTTTTCTGTCATTTATATATCTATCTGCAAGTTTCTCTATTGTCTGTCTGTCTGTCTCGCTCTTTCCTCTCTCTGCTCTCTTCTCATCATCTCAGTCTCTCTCTCTCTCTCTCATTTTCTCGTTTCTCTTCCTCTCATCTCTCTCTCTCGCTCTGTCTGTTCTTCTCTGCTCTCTCTCTGTCTCTCCTCAAAGAGTTAGAGGCAGAGCAGCAGACAGACAGACAGACAGACAGACAGACCAACTGACTGACAGCTATGCAGATACAGGTGTATGCCTCATATATCCATGTTTGTGAGTGTTTAGCGTTGTGAATTATTCTTTGTTGGAACTATGCCGCATCTAAAATGTTCACAGGAGAGCCTGGATCCAAAGAGGCTACACTGGCTGTTCAAGGTGCTCATGGAGAACCCGTTTCACAGGGAGGCAGATGGATCCTTCATGGTCACTAGGTAGTGTATCGCAATCGCTTCACTGTGTTGTATTAGAAAGAGAACTGTGAGCAGTATATGTAGCATTAGTGCAAGAGTAAAATAATGTTGTAAAATATTTTGTTACTATTCTACTCTATTACCTTGCTGGTTAGTATCTTTCTTACTAATCATACTCTGCTTATCTTACTGATCAAATCTATCTATCTGATTAGGGTGTTTGCATATTAGCGTGTTAGTTTAGTTGTGGTACACCTGATTAAATAATTAAGAGAACAGTTGGTTGTATGTCAGCAGTCTATCAGTAGGTTTAACTGATTTGTTTAAAAAAACCATCTCTCTGTTATTGCGTATTTGTTGCAGTCACTTGTATCTGCTACAAGCGGCCATCGGTCAGCAGGAGTGGAAGGTCAAGCATTTACTATCTGCCATGCTAGAAATGATTGTGCCACAGTTAGGCAACTCCTACAAGAACATTCGTGATAGACTAGGAAGGTAAGACTATTGTAAATTAACATATGAGAGGGCCCTATGTCAAACAATTTGATTTTTGATCTCATTCAGTTTATTGTATTTAACTATTTGTGATTTTAAATGAAATCATTTACTATATAATTTATTAATTAACTAATAATTTGGTGATTTTTAACGTGTAACTGTTTATTTATATTTTAAGCCAATACTATTAGTCAAGATTCGAGTAAAAATTTAACAAATGATGAATGTTTGTCCATGGTACCTACCATAAACTTGATAGTATTAGTATTTTTACTGCTATTTTACAGTACTTTGGGAAGCGTGTTTCTGTTTGAGATGGAGCTGCCACACCTGACGCAGACGTACTGCCCCTCGCGTGCACAGTTCATCACCAGCCTTATGCCTCAGCTACAGGTGTTGGTCTCGCAGCAGTCTACCAGTCCAACAACAGGTATGTGCATGAATATGTGCGTGCGTGCTTGCGTGTTTAGTATTTTTTTGCATACGTGCGTGCCTGCGCGCATGCCTGCGTGTTAAGTATTTGTGTGCATGCGAGTGTGCGCTCGTGTGTGTGTGTATGCGTGCGTGCACATGTTTTCGCGTGGGTTTGTGTGTGTGTGTGTGTGTGTGTGCGTGCGTGCGTGCGTGCGTGCGTGCGTGTGTGTGTGCATGCATGTGTGTGCGTGCATGCATGTGTGTGCATGCATGTGCGTACGTGCACGTGCGTGCGCATGTATGTACGTGGGTGTGTGTGCGTGTGTGTTTGCTTGTGCGCGCGAGCTTCACGCTGAGTTGTCATAATTTTTGCCGTCATTGTCACAGAGGTCGCCCGTGACGCGGAGGGTGACACATCGATGTGTGAGGTCAATGAGGAAGAGAGAAGCAAGGCCGTGCGTGTGTTTGAGACGACCTTGAGATGGCTTCAGACATCCCTCGCACGTATGCACTATAGTGCACCGCCAGAGGTCTTTCAGCTACTACCACTCGTGAGTAATATTATATAGTCTGAATTATATGCTTCTATCTATAAGTTAAATTATATTTGATATGTTTATCCATATATGATATGCACTGTAAGTTATATTTTATACTGTGCACTTTAGCACTGAATATGTGTGAGCCCATGAGCAAATCACGTGCACGATAGTTAAAAGGCTAAACTAAACTACCATTATTTTGGTTATTAATCATGATCATTTATCAGGTTAATTAGATTTACAACATGTAGATTTTCAACTGCTTGTGGAGACACGATTATGCAAGTCTGTTCTTTGAATTCACTTCACGTGTGTTGGTTAGATAGACATTAGCTCTGCTCACCATACATGTTTCCGTTTCGTAGGTGTGCCAGCTCGAAAATGAGTCGACAGACGAAGAACTGAAGAAAGAGTGCATGCTGACACTTGCTTGTCTCGCGCAGGCTCTGCTGAAGCCTGATGTTATCCCCTATGTCCTCAAGGTCATTCAGCAGGTAGGGTGTCATTGTGAACTTATTTATGCGTACTACTGTATATGTAGTAGATATATGTTCATAGTATTGGTGTAGTAAACAGCTATCGTCCTGGTATGAGGGAGCCGTAGATATATGCCCAATCAAGACAACCCCTGGTTTCCCTGGGTTGGACAAATATAAACATATTAAACCTAAATAAACAAATAATAATAATAATAATAATAACAGATATAATATATAAATTAATGCCCCCTGTGTGTCTTGGGATAATTGGCAATAACTTGTTTGTTATACCAAATCATGAATTCATAATAACATACAAACGTCAGAACGTCTGATGAAACTGCTGTCTTTCAAAGGAAATATCTTCTTCATGCATATTCATGGCCTATAAGTAGAAATTATGCCTAGAGACCATTCAAGTCTGAGAATTCCCACCATCACGCTAGTATACAGTGAATTTTCCATCCCGCGCGCTGAACTACGTGTGCTGTTTATTTAGATCATGAACGGGCAGTCGTGGCGCAGCAAGCAGTCTGTGCTCGAGTACCTGCAGGTGATGGTCTTCTGCAACCTGTTTGCGGTCATGCAGAGCCGCGAGCTGGTCGGCTGCATACACGACATCGTACTAAACATGATGACCAACGAGCAGCTAGAGGTCAGTGTAAGCATCGCGCGTGTGGGCGAGTCTACTGATCGAGGCGGAGAGATGATAGGTGGTGGTAGGCAGAGATGTTGTTTACGGATGAATGGATGTAATTTACCATGATTCCATGAATGTTTTTTACGAAAAAAGACAATATGTAGGCCTACATATATATATTTTGAATTTATATATATATATATATATGTAATAATAAATAATTTTGTCGAGGGCACGCGTTGGCCTTAGCCTATGCCATCTCGGGGTCCACGTATTCATGGTTCGATCTTTGGCTAAATACGTGCGAGGGTCGCTATTCCTCTCGCCCATATATATATAATAAACTTATTATTTTATGCTTATTATTATCAGGTCAGAGAAATGGCATCCGTGACCCTGGGTGGGTTCTTGCACTGTGAACTCTTCACAATGGATGCAGATTTATTGGTATGTTATTACAAAGATGTACGAGATAAATATGTGATTAAATGGTACTAACAGTTACCTGATATTGAACAGTATCAAGCATTGTTTAATGCATTTAAGCATGTGTTAATAGAAATGAATGGTTGTAAAAAAAATTGAACATCGCCTATCTATTCAAAGTCCACGTAAATTACAAATTAAAAATGTTCATCAAAAATCCATGAACGAATCTATACCTCATTGGTGTATAGATTGTTCATGGTATGCCGAATACATCTCATACCTCTCTCCACCAACGTGACATCTCACTAATTGTCACCAAGTGTTAAATGGCATTGGTTTGAACTGCACATGTAGAGAAAAAGTATCTGACGATATTAAGTGTAATTATATTGCTAACATTATCTCATCGTTTATTAATCATCAATATAGATGTCATTGATTACTGTATCATTAATAATTGATGTCAGTAGAGCTTGGTATGTATGACAGACGACACATGCAGAGAAAAGATATTGACATGTCAGTGTTCGAAATAAGGGCTATCCGTTTGTCCTCACTTGTTCATTTCCACGGAGGACAAGTATACCTGTCCAGCAGCTTGTCCGCTGGACAAACAGCTTTTTAGAGCAATTTTTCATCATTTTCTACCATCGCTTCAACTTTGTTAAGACAAGTAATAACTTAAAATAAATAATTGTGCTTCTTTATGTTCTTTCATGTTTGGTGCCTAACTTGAACTGTTAGTGAACTGTATTAAAATTACAAAGTAAGATATTGGGTCTAAAATTTAATTTGATTAAATGCATTACACATTTACTATATTTCTATGTTATTAATCAGGACAAGCTAACATTTTGCAGGACAAGCAAAAATATATTTTAGCTTATTCGTCGGGCAAGCAAAATTTTCCCCTTATATCGAACACTGCATGTAGTACTGTCTGTACACGTATTTTACATGTAATTATTATTCTTAATTTATTTCATTATTTTATTAATTGTCCATATAGCTATCGTTATCATATCGAAAATCAATGATGTCAGCAGAACTCGGTGTCTGACTATTTTACAAATAATTATTTTGTTAAATTTATATCGTCATTTTATCAATCGTCGATACGGCTATCGTTATCGTATCGTAAATCGATGACGTCGGCTGAGCTTTGTGTGTGTATGTGCGTGTGTGCGTGCGTGTGTGCGTGCGTGTATAACAGACGACGACTGGCGTTTCCGCAGGACAAGTTCCGGAGCTGGGCGAACACGCGGATCAGGCGGCGCGGCGGGCGAGTCGCGCTCGACCAGGCGGGGGCGCTGGTGCGGCGGCACGCCGGCGTGCTCGGACTGTGCGCGTACATCGAGGCGCACCCGTACGACGTCACTGCGCTCATGCCCGACGTGCTGATGATGCTGAGCAACCACGTCAATGACCCGCAGCCCATCCAGGTCAGAGGTCGTCGCCCTGGCGATGCGTCGCTAACGACGGCGACATATGCCGTGTTTCTCGAGCGAGCGTGCGCCTGGAGCGAGCGACGGGTAGTCCCAGCCAATTGGCTTTGCGACCGAGACATTCTAAAAAAACGTTGCTTAGCAATGAAGTGTCGTTAATTTTGAAACGAGGCGTGCGCTCGTGGGAAAATGCATAAACTGTCGTGACTGTGTGAGCTTTTCTGTCTGGCTTGACTGACTATAGTCAGTGAATGTGTGCAAGGGAGCGTAGGTATCGCGCTCGATTGGATTAGTAAGTTGCTGATAGCGATGATGTTGGGAATGTTCTCACGTGAGTACTTCTCTGTTTCTGCAGGTCACAGCGAGAAAGGCCCTGAGTAACTTCCGACGCACGCACTACGACAACTGGCAAGACCACAAGCTGATGTTCACAGATGACCAGCTGGCTATACTTACCGACCTGCTAGTTTCTCCAAGCTACTATGCGTAGCACCAACCCAGCACCACTCCTGGGGGGAATTATTGACCTATCGGTGTCCTGGAGTGATGGACACTGCAGCTCTAGCCAATCGTTGTTGAGGTAGGATGTTCTAAAAGACAATGCTTGGGAAGAAGGCGCTGCCAGGTCACCATGCGGGTGCACGAAAAACCACGTATAAACTAGTCTAGCTTAGCTGAGTGGGAAATTTATAATGCCAAATGCTTGTCACACTTAGACGGATCGATGAATTGGCACCAACGCCTCGTCTGTCAAACCACCCTGCAGGTGCCCCCACCACCTAGTTACGGTAATCAATTGCTAAAGTATTCATCTGCATCAGGGGCTCGTTTTGTGAAACATCATAAGTAGTTATGACTCTGATAAGTCTGAATTTTCATAACTTTTAGTGGTGCAAAGTTGAAAGTGTAAGTGTCCTGCAAAATTTATGACATTTTAGACTTGTGATAGTCGTCACTACATGTGATGTTTCTGACAACGAACTGTCGTTTATCCTGGTGCTTAACATTACTACAGTACACAATCAATAATCCGAAATCCGGGACCAGACACGTTTCGGAATTCGGAATTTTTCGGATTTCACAATGGTAGTACAGTACAGATATACATATCGTATATCCTACTAGCCAGTACTAAAACCCAAGTTTTCAAGAAGCCAAATGCAGTACTGGTACAGTACAATATGTATGAGTAATGCCAAACACTTTAATATTTCTGCAGTGAACCTTGTGCAGCCAAACGCGAGCTTTGGTGTGCAGACGACCTCCACGAAAAAAACTTTCGGTTTTCGAAGCTTTTCGGTTTGCAGAATTTCGGATAATAGATTGTGTACTGTATGTTGTGTACTAATAATATGAACAGTGTTATCACACAATATGGATTTCGAGACGGTAAATATCTCGTGTGTGATTTTCGGATATGAATCATCACAATGTGCCCACGAACAATGTCACTCGCTTGCAATCACAATGTTGATAATGTTTAAATTATAATATGTAATCTTGATGCCTTGTTGCGGCTGTCAGAGATTGACATATATTTGTGCTGGGCATGTATGCACAAACTAGGAGGTATTTCTGGGTTATTCTATATCTTTATTCTCGTTTTGTTGGTGTGGTTTTCGAAAGATGGGTTATTCTGTTATCCCATTTTTTATTACTTGTGATCGGAATGTTATTGCAATTTTGATAACTCGTTTGACGCAGTTATACCGATGAAAATTCAAGAGTGAACAGTTGATGGAGACAACTTACACTCCAACCCTCGGTGTTTGTCAACATTTGATACATTAGTGTTAATATATTATTGTAGCCGTGTATACCTTCTGTAAAAAAGTAGTCGTTTCTAAATTTCTATCATGCTGCGCCTGTCCATAACTTGTGAACGCACAATGATGATGATTAGGGTGATGATATAGTGTATAGGGAGATTGTGAGCAGAAGCTTTTGCAAAATACCTACTTTGTCTGCTACGTGGGCAATACGCACATTTGCACTCAAATTGGCAAGGTAGGCCTACACTATCGATGCCGGGGATGAGACGGTGCACGCCTACCATGTCGCTAATTACTTTGTTAATCGGGTTGGGGACTTGTATGATATACATCTATGAAGTCCAACATGAACAAGTCTATACAATATTGTTGTATATATATACGGTATTGTGTACCATATACTTGTATAAATATGTACATGATTGCAATGACTGTGCTTGTGATGTTAACGCGATCCAACTGTGCATGGCCAGTGAGTATGTTATATCAGTTGTATACGTAAAAGAATGCGACTTAAAACCCCTCCTTTCTGTTTATAGTGCTTGCGGCTGTGTTAATACAGTCTGTACGGAATTATTATGTTACCCGGATGAAATCTTCGAAATGTTGGGTCACGGGTAGAACAAAGACGTTTTGAAGTGTTTACTGCTAGTATTGGAGAACAAACGTGTGCGTGGGCAACGTCGTTAATAAAGATATATGGCCTACTGCGAAATGTATTCTCGCTTACCTTGTTACGCAGGTAAAATGCTGTTATATTTTCGCTATGACCTACCCTGCTGCCCAGTATGGATAATATGTTCATGCTCTACCCAATAACTAATGTGCAAACAACCGTGTGTGAGAGCCTATTGGGTAGCGTGAAGGATTGTTGTTTTCTATCTATGTCATCGGGGGTAAGTGATGGGAAGATAATAATAATTCCTATTATTTACTCCTAGTACCATCTCAAAGACTTTACGAGTAACTATCATTGAGAGTCATACTCCGCCGGCTTGCCATCTGTCTATATGCAGGTGAAGCTTGTGTGAACACAAAGGTATTCATTGTACAGGTAAAAAAGGGATAGTCGGTTTAATGTGCTGTGTGCGTTCGAGCAGGCAAGCAGGGCTGTCGATACAATATCGTGTGCCCATCAACTATTTGATTGCGTGCTGATAACGTGCAATATTTACCTGATCAAGTTGCCTGCAAAGTCTTTATATATATAGGTGTGTGCGCGCACGTGTGTGTGCGTGCGTGCATGCGTGCGTGCGTGGGCGCATGCGTCGATTTCGATTTCATGTTTTGTTTAGTAGGAAAATTTCAATCGGTTTGATTTTGCTATGGATTATGTATGATAATAAACAGATTGTATATTTAGTCATGCGTTTCGATTGTTGGGTTATGTAAATTTGTGAACGTTGCTAGTTGTTATAATTGAATATATTCTGGAAATAAGCAAGTGCGTTAAGATGTAGCAGCCGCATATCGGTCGCATATAGAAGAAAAGTGGTACCTCTCACTGACATAGATGTAATATTTAAGATGGACATTAGCTAGGCATTAGATAGGCATGTTCTATCTATAAGTTTCTATGTTTAATCATGGAAATTTGCCTTCCACTAGCATATTAAATGACCGATATGTCAAAAATTATTTAGCCTGAATGAGCTTGCCTCATGTCAAAATGTTCCTTATTTAGTAGGCAAACAGATTATGTAAACAATATTTAAGCTACAATGCTTCAATAACGGTCACATGCTGTATTATCAAACGTTGCACGAAATTTATGCAGGCTTTGCTATATTTTATTCCGCATATATTCTACATTCTGCCTTACACGCGACAGGTGTCTTTTTATTATCTTTCCTCATTTCGTGTCGCACCTAAACGGTTTCGTTAGCGTCATTAACCCCACAGGTGGGCTCTGACGTAGACACGGTTTACATGTCGTAAACACGCGTCGCTCCATGCGTATTCTACTCGTTACAATATCTTGTAATATATATATATATACTGAAAGAAAGAGAGAGAGAGAGAGAGAGAGAGAGAGAGAGAAGAAGAGAGAGAGAGAGAGAGAGAGAGAGAGAGAGGAGAGAGAGAGACGAGAGAGAGAGAGAGAGAGATAGAGAGAGAGCAGAGAGAGAGAGAGAAGAGAGAGAGGAGAGAGAGAGAGAGAGAGAGAGAGAGAGAGAGAGAGAGAGAGAGAGAGAGAGAGAGAGAGAGAGAGAGAGAGAGAGAGAGAGAGAGAGGGTAGGGAGGAGGAGGGAGGGAGGGAGGGAGGGAGGGAGGAGGGAGGGAGGGGAGGGAGGGAGGGAGGGAGGGAGGGAGGGAGGGAGGGAGAGAGAGAGAGAGAGGAGAGAGAGAGAGAGAGAGAGAGAGAGAAGAGAGAGAGAGAGAGAGAGAGAGAGAGAGAGAGAGAGAGAGAGAGAGAGAGAGAGAGAGAGAGAGAGAGAGAGAGAGAGAGAGAGAGAGAGCAGGACAGTAGCATGAGGATATGTGTATATATAATATATATATATATTCTAAAGATTAATCTCGTAGGTGGTTTATCGTATAGGAATAATTTCTTAAAAAAAGGAATATTTTTATATAGGAAAAATTTTGTTTCTCGCGCAGGTCTCAGACTTGTCGTTCCTATCTGCTTACACCAACATCGCTTCGCTGCACCACTGCTCATTACTGCAACTTCCTAATTACTGTTTCTTTATGCGAGCTGTGTGACCGAATGAGCCTAATTCCATGTGCTTTACATCGTCAATGGCACGTTGTTTGCAAATCGTGGGGATCAATCGGGAATATAGGAATGAGGGAATAGGCGAACGTTTTATGGCTCTGGTAGAATAAATCAAAGGATGGAACGAATGTATTTCGTTTAGCATCATAATACTTTTTTTTAGAAGATTGTGCTCCCTCTTACTGTATACGGAAAGCACTGCGTTTTACATTTTTCATAGAAACATTCTTATTGTGTGCTTTCTCTCTTTTTTATTGAAGTATATAGTTTCATTAATTTTTTTTAGCATATAGTAGGCTCACATATAGCTCATATTTAATCTATCGCACGTTTTAAACAGGGTTGGAATATTTGGCACCTTATAGTTAATAAAATGAGTCACTAGATGGACATTTTTTTGCATCTCACTATGGAGTATCTGCTTACTACGGGTGTATAGTTTCAACGAAATTATGTATGTATGCATATTACGTTTATCATCATACACATCTCATGTGCGACACCATTTCGTTAGGGAATATGAAATGATCAAAAATCTATTGTTTGTATTTTTATTGTTTGTATGTTGAATATTGTATATGTTGTTGTTTGTGTATTGTTGTATATTGTATTGTAATTATATGTATCACTGCACAATTTGTTAGTTTACATTGCTCATGATGTATTCACGCGTGCGTTTTTTTATGTGTGTCTGCGCGTTAATATAATATCAGGGGTTAATAATGACAAATAATATAATTTGATAACATCAGAAGTAGATAATAGGGAAATTCCCTATCATCTACTTCTGATAACATGTATAAACACTGTTTTGCACCCAATCGGATTTTATTTTCTGTCTTTTAGTATTAAACTACGCAGGGTTTACTCACTCGTATATTTTATTATATAGAAATGTTACATATAAATACAATGTTTCGATAAAATCTATTACAGGTAAAACTGGTATGTACCGCGAGTAGCCGAGCTCCGGTTGAATATAGGTAGGGTCTATTATGCTCATTTAGTCATAGTCATTGTTTCATTGTTGATACACAGTAATACGCGATGTGATATCCATGCATGCATGAATTATGCGTGGATGCGGTGCGTAAAACTGTGCGTGTCGTTCTACTTGTCGCAAATCTTGCCGGTTATTTACTATCTACGATATCAAGAGCTAATAATACATTATATTACATGTATTATTAGCTGGTGGTGATATCTATGGGTGTTAAGGATACTGTTAGGGTTGTGAGGTGAACTCAATACCCACTTTATTTGATAGATCGCAGCTATGGGCAGCTATGTATACGTAGAAATTATGTATGTAGCCTCCCAAACAGTTCCAAATCCCCGGATTAGTCAATTCTTAACACAGGCGTTCAATGATGGGAAATTGAGAAAAGTGCTGATATCTCGGTTGTTAAAAATGCTAAAGTAGGTGATTTTTCAAGCGCTATTTCTCGAAACTTACAACTCCGATTCTATGCTAACATATCAAAGGAAAAAATGTTCCCTGGAATTTAAAAAAAAAATTATATTTTATGAGTTATGGCTCTTTGTTTACGAAATTGTTGCGTTTAGAAATTCACTACAAATTTGTGTACA